GTAGTGAAGATATTCTAATAATTGTAAATTCTGGTTTTATTGCTGCAAGTTGTTCAGGGGGATATTCAAAACATGGACGCATAAAACGGGTAGGTACACCAATTTTTGTGGGAAAACTTTTTATTCGACAACAACGAATGAGAAAAATTCTTCAAATTCGTAGGATTCGTGCGTCTAAATAACCACAACAAAATTGGAGTAGATTGGTCAAGTAGCTTTTGAAAATACCTAATTGTTTATCCCAAAATGCCGGTTTTCCGGCCATAACTACTAGTTTATTGAGCAATATACAGAGTTAGTTTAAAAGGTATTTAATAGCAAAATACACTAGTTTACCTTGCAGATATGAATCGCAAGCCATTCCGCGAGATAAATGTTATTATTATGCAAAATGGGATGGGTTACGTTTTTTCTTCTAAACAAGTTCAAACATGTCGTATTTGTGAGTTATTCGCAACAAAAGGTAGATGCATCCGCTTTGTTTTAAAATGTCCATAGCAACGTATGTTTTTCGAATTTGTTCAATTACTCACAAATACGAAATGTTTGAGTTTGATTAGAAGAAGAAAACGTAACTTTTGTTTTTCGCATAAAAATTACTCTTACACACATGGTAAAAAGTCAAAGATTTTCTTTCAAGATATTTTTTAAACCTTATTTTTGATGGATTATGTGACACAAAATTCAAAATTTTAAGGGTTTTAATCTTGGTTTCATCAATATTTTGCAAAATAATGCTTAAAATTGAACAAGCGATGTTTTGGGAATTCACTTTCAGGATCGGATTGAGCTCTCTTATTCTTATATTTATACTCTGAATTTCGCCGAAAAAGAAGCAGCACACATCTTAAGTTATGCATCCTATTTAGCTTTCTCGTTAATTTTTTAGTGATTCAATTGATGTTATACAAAAACATGAGTTCTGCTATAGGGGAACGTATGCAAATGCCCTGAATTTGAATTCCCAGACAAATTCAAGATTATGATGAAAATGTAGAAAAACCACCAACCAAAATACAGGTCCGAAATCCACAGCAGTTTCAGAATAGTTACTTTTAGGTGCTTTCACCACAACTCTTCGTTAGATTTAGCAACATAACGGTACATCACACAATTAAATGTCAAGTTTGAACCTGAAAACCACGTTTTTACACGTTTTTAACCTCAACCTCGTGTGGAATGTCGAATTTAGTGGAATCGCACATTTAATTCATAGTCTAATCATATTAGACGAAAATACTCCTGGTTTGAGAAATAATTGTCAAGTCTGGTTTTATTGATGCTCAAGGGGATATTTAAAACATAAAATAGATACACCAATTGTTGTGGAAAAACTTTTTCTTCGACAACAAAGGATGAGAACACGTGTTTTTGGGAACCAAAAAACTCTTCAAATAAGATTTTTAGGTATTTATGAGACCTAAAAAATGAGACCACACCTAAAAAAGGTTTTGGTACTTGTTGCTAATGTGACGACAATTTCACACAGCTACTGAAAGATATTTGTTATTTTTATGGGTAAAACGAAGGGTTACGTTTTTTTCCAAGATAATTCAAACATTTTGTATTTGTGAGTAATTGAACAAATTCGAAAAGCATACGTTATTATACACATTTTAAAACAAAGCGGATGTGTCTATCATGTTTTGTTTAAAAAAAAAATTTTTTTAAGTTTTCCTGTAGTGTATACATATGTAAAGCTGAAACTTATAAACGGTCACTGATGATCCTCAAGGTTTATAAAAAAAACTGTTTATAAAGTTAGCACGCAAACTGCAGACACTATTATGTTTCAAACTGCCTTAGACTAGTTAGGTATGTAGCATGTGCTAAAATGGCTGCATTATTGATGACTGCATGACTTTGTAAAACAAGTAGGTCACGTAATCCAGTTTCTTTACGAAGAAATATAATTCCCTGGACCTTTTTTCTAAAAGTATTAATACAGTATAAGTCTGTCTTCGGAATTTCGTATGATTAAAACGACTGCGAATTCAAAATTTTGGAAAATAAACTCGAGAAAACGAAAGAACTGTAGACAAATATCAACCAATTGTAGCGAACTGACCGCCTGAAAAATTAGGCAAAATGCTCGCTACTACATTATTTAGTTTCAGCATTGTATCTTATATGGTTTTCAAGATTATTCTAATTGCTTTTATATAAAGGGTGATTCACAAGTCGTGACCAGAAATGAAACATCATACACAGGACCCCATTTTAAGGGGGGTCTTCTATGTAACATTTTTTCCTCGAGGGCTTCATTAAAAAGATACGGGGTGATGAAGTTTAAAAATAAAACATTTTTTTTAATATCTTCAAAACCGTCAACTGGAATGAACTAAAATTTGGTATGTGGACTTAACCAAGTATTGCCCCATTCAAAAATCTTTATTTATTTTCCACATTCAGAAGTCCTCACTTAAAATTATCGTGCACCAGTGGCGGAGTTACGGGGGATTAGTGGCATAATCTTCAAATAGTACGCCACTGTTTTTTTTTCGCAACGCGCGGCTTTTCGAATTATACCTTCAATTTTCTACAAATAATTACTCTTGTGTTTTTTCCTAGAGTCCAACGAGTACGCCGATATTTTTTTGTGTACGGGTTCTGTAATGGAAATGCTTTAGCGGCTTTTCGAGAGTATCAACGTAGATTTCCTAACAGACGCCAACCTACCCTAAAGGTTTTTACTAATTGGTTTTTGTTTATTTTTACGCAAACAATGCACTGTAGCAAAAAATACTAGAGTAATTATTTGTAGAAAATTGAAGGTAAAAATCGAAACTGCGCGTTTCCAAAAAAAAAAAAAACAGTCACGTACTTTTTTTTTGAAAAGTAATGCCACTAATCCCCTGTATCTCCGCCACTGGTGTACGTTAATTTTAAGTGAGGACTTCTGAATGTGGAAAATACTTAGGTAAATGCACATACCAAATTTTAGTTTATTCCAGTTGACGGTTTTGAAGATACTAAAAAAACTTGTTTTTAATTTTCAAATTCAACACCCCGTATGTTTTTAATGAAGCCCTCGAGGAAAAAATGTTACATATAAGACTCCCCTTAAAACGTAGTCCTATGTATCATGTGCTTAATTTTTGGTTACGAGTTGTGAATCCTCCAACGTTCTCTTGACATATTTGTCAGTGTCAATTATAGTGGTATAAAGGTCCAGTAAATCAAGAGGCGTCGTAGTGTAATGGGAAAGAGTAACGATTGAAGAACCGCAGGACGGAGATTCGAATCCACAAAGCTCCTTTTTTTCTATTATATATTTTTTTATTTGGAGAAATCAATGCTTTTGTCTACCAGCGTGCATAACTTTTCCGCGCGCATTATGTGTTATTACAAATAATAACCATGATCCTTTGTTTCCTCATTTTTGTATTACCCTTTTGATTTTGAGCTTCTAAATGATATTTGAAGCTTGAATGTCACTAGTAATGCCGTCTATCTATTCGTCAAAAAGTATTTGAATTGCAATACTCTTGCAAACTATACAAGACACAATCCTGAACCTTTGAATAATGTATTAGGGACTAATACCGAGCATTTCGCCTAATTCATCAGACGGTCAGTTCGCTACAATGGTTGATATTTGTCTACTGTTTTTTCGTTTTGTCGCGTTTATTTTCCGTCATTTTGAACTCCAGTCATTTTAATAATAATAATAATAATAATAATAATAATAATAATAATAATAATAATAATAATAATAATAATAATAATAACAATAATAATAATAATAATAATAATAATAATAATAATAATAATAATAATAGTAATTATAAAATCCAAATAAGACTCCAACGTTCCTAACACAAGGGCTAACGGTATTAATACCAAAAGATCTCAATAATACAGAAGACCCAGCAAAATACCTGCCTTCCTACGCTATACAAGGTGGTCACTGCTTGTATATCGAAGCGAATTTATGCTCATTGTGAAGAAAACGATATTATTGCGCCACAACAAAAAGGCTGTGCTAAGGGAGCTATGGGATGCAAAGAACAGCTGGCTATCGATTCAGTCATCTGTAACCAAGCCTATACCAACAAAAGGAACCTATACATTACGTACATCGACTATCAGAAGGCATACGATTCTGTACCTCATGAGTGGCTTGTCAGGGTGCTGAGGCTCTATAAGGTAGATGAGCATGTAATGGCCCTATTAGAACATATGCTGAAGATCTGGAGAACCAGAATAACACTGCATACAAACGGGACCAGCACCATTCAAACTGAGACGATCTCTATCCGAAGAGGTCTCTTTCAGGGTGATTCATTAAGTCCCCTATGGTTTTGCCTAGCTATAAATCCCCTCTCAAACCTCTTAAATGCAACAGGGTATGGATATAGTCTGAAAGATAACAGGAACGCATCCATAAAACTGAACCACTTGCTGTATATGGACGACCTAAAGGTAATAGCTGCTACTGAGAATCAAATGAAACAGCTGCTAGAGATAGTCGGTCAGTTCTCAGATGACATAAGTATGCGACTTGGGATGGATAAATGCAAAACCTTATCTATACGTAGGGGGAACATCTACCCTGGAGGATTTTCAAGCTGCAGAGGCCAAAACATTGACGCAATGGACGCAAATGACACATACAAGTACCTTGGAATGGCGCAGGCCCGAAGCATAGACCATAAAAAAATGAAGGAAGCTATATCGCAGACCTTCACAAAAAGAATACGGCTACTTCTGAAAACAGAACTCAATAGTAAGAATCTAGTCAAGGCGATTAACACCTACGCATGCTCTGCCTTGAACTACTCGTTCGGTATAGTTCTGTGGAGTAAAACTGACATCGAGAAACTAGAGAGGCGGGTAAGGACTATGCTAACAAAAAAAGGAGCGCACCATCCTCGCAGTGCAATAGAGCGCACAACCTTACCCCGACAGTTAGGAGGAAGAGGTCTAATGGACATCAGCAAGCAGCTAGCTCAACAGGTACTCGCCTTGCGATCCTACTTCTTTGAGAAGGCCGAGATCTCTGAGCTGCATCGCATCATATGCTCAATAGATGACACAACGCTCTTACACCTTAGTAGACGAGATGACCAACCGAGTCACCAAACCAACGAACAGAAGCTACAACGATGGATTGAAAAACCTCTACATGGGAGACATGCCAACGAGATTAGCCAAGAAAACGTTGACAAGAAAGCGTAAAACTATTGGCTTACCTCAGGCCAAATGTTCCCTGAGACTGAGGGATTCCTTGTAGCTATACAGGACCAGGTCATCCCTACCAACAATTACAAGAGGTTCATACTTAAGAACTTGCAGGTACGGCTGTCAGGACTCCGAAACAATACAACACGTAACTGGTGGATGCCAAGCATTCGCTCCAACGGACTATAAGGAGCGCCACGACATAGCTGCCAAAATCATTCACCAGGAGTTGGCATACAAATTCAAACTGATCGAATGCAAGCTACAGTACTACAAATATACACCGCAATGTGTCCTCGAGAACGACAAGTATAAACTATACTGGGATCGCACTGTGCTTACGGACCAATACATAAAACAAAACAGACCTGACATAATCATTGTCGACAAGGGCGCCCAGAAAGTAACTCTGATTGATGTGGCCATACCTAATAGTAACAATTTAACATACAAGCATAATGAGAAAGTTGCAAAATACAGGGAGCTAGAATTTCAAATTAAACGCCAGTGGAAAATGAAGTACGTGGAAACAATACCAATAATAATGTCATCTACAGGGGTGATACCAAGAAGGCTGCTAGAAAACATCAAAGCGCTGGGACTGAGTGAAAACATTTACAAAATCATACAGAAAGGAGTTTTGCTGGCAACTGCCCGCATAGTAAGAAAATTTATGGGAAATGCAAGTACCTAGGGAGGTCACTATTGAGGCTTACCCCTTTGATGCTTGAAACGTCCGGGTTAAGCCAGAACACCCCGATTAACGGGAGTAACAAAGCCCTACGGCTAAAAAACAATAATAGTAATTATAATAATAATAATTATAGTAATAATGATAATAATAATAATAAAAATAGTAATAATAATAAATGTTTATTGGAGTATATACAAAATATAAATACAAAACGTATAATACCCCAAAAGGCTGGGGCTGGCAATGCCATTTTTCACATCAGCCTACTAAATAAACTAGAGATGTGAAACTAACATACCATATTATGGGTAACAGTTTTGAGTATACTTAACTTTATATTACGTTATATAAAAACTATAATAGGAATAATTATTTTGAAGAGCCTGCACTTAATTGGTTGTGGCTTCAATTGAACTGCAACTCTAATAGCAATTTTTTAAATTCGCCTTTAAAATTGTAGATAGAAATGCTTCGGAAAATTTGGAATAATCATTAAGCATAGATGGTACCGTGTAAAGGAAACATTTTTTAAATTTAGATGTTGTATGAGACGGTATGTTGTAAGAATTATCATTGCTTAGTAATACTTGTATTACTGTAATCTGTATTAATACTTTTAGAAGGAAGTCCAGAGAATTTTATTTCTTCGTAAAGAAACTGGATTACGTGACCTACTTATTTTACAAAGTCGTGCAGTCATCATTAATGCAGCATTTTAGCACATGCTACATACTAACTAGTCTAAGACAGTTTGAAACATAATTGTGTCTTCAGTTTGCGTGCTAACTTTACAGACAATTTTTTTATAAACTGTGAGGCTCATCAGTGACCGTATATAAATTTCAGCTTTACATACGTATACACAAAACTACGGGAAAACTAAAAAAAAATTACGAAACAAAATATGGACACATCCGTTTTAAAATGTGTATAATAACGTACGTTTTTCGAATATCGTAGCGAATCTGTTCAATTACTCACAAATACAAAATGTTTGAAGTTGTTTAGAAGAAAAAAACGTAACCCTTCGTTTTTCACATAAAAATAACAATTATTTTTCGGAATGGTTTGTGATTCAAGTCGGCAAGGTAAACACGTGTATTTTGCTATAAACTCCCCATTGAATGAACCCTGTATATTTCTCAGTAAACTAGTAGTTATGGCCGGAAGGCAGGTGTTTTGGGATAAACAATTAGAAATTCTCAAAAACTACTTGACCAATCGACACCATTTTTTTTGTGGTCACTTAGAAGTATGAAGCCTATGGATTTGAAGAATTTCAAGTAGCTGCGTGAAATTTTCATCGCATTAGCAACAACATTTTTACTGTTCCTTTTACGTGTGATTACGCATTAGGCTAAAGAACGGCAACGCTGTCTTCTTCTCAGGTCGAAAAGCGCCCACACTCGACTGCCGGCGTCGATCGAGCTGCAGCAGTGTGCTCGATATCGCGCGTTTTTTTATGTTTTCTAGCCCAAAATTCCAGATCTTTATTTCCAAAAATTCTGACAATGTTACCCATCTCTCGTTAATTCACTGAGTGGAAATATATTATTTTGGCAGTATGTTCACTAAAAAATGTTCTAATTCTTTAGTCCAAGGCTGTCCAACTTAATGTGGCCCAAGGGCGACTTAAAAAAAATGCAGTTTGGAGGGCCGCATTATAAAATCTTTCTATACAACATTATTACAGAGTCAATGTAAGAATTGTGCATATTCGGTACTTGAGAGTAATTTATACATGTGATGTATACATGACCCGTGAAGCGGGCCGCAAGAAAGAAGTTCGCGGGTCGCATGCGGCCCGCGGGCCGTATGTTGGACAGCCCTGCTTTAGTCTATTCGAATGCTACTTTGTCCTTAAATCTTTTTCGAAAAACGCCTTCGTTTCGAAGGTACAGGGCGGATAAAAATTTTGAAAACGTAACGTATAGCAAAACTTCAATCTTATAATATTTGCCTTCTTGTCACGCGATTATCGCATGGAAGATCTACTTTAGTAGACTTCATTCGATATTAGGATAATTAATAAACAGGGTGGTAAGAAAGAGTACATAGTAAAAAATAAACTTTAAAAAACCCAAAACTTTTTTTTTACTTATGGAACCAGCTGTATTTATAATTTACACTGTGAAAGAATAAAAATATAGCCTTCTATAAGGTTTTCGCAAGATAGTGGTTTCTGAAATATTTTGAAATTTTTCTTTTGCAAAAATGCTCCGTAAGGACAAGGATACAAATATAGGAAAATAGGGTGATGATTATTTATTGTCTAACTGCAATTTTTCGTCAAATTTTGATAAGCTATTGGCAGTGGCTCATCGTTGGTAACTACGATCTCCACGGACTGCATAGAGGTGCAAGCGGTATTCTCCATGTGCGTGCGAACCAGCTTTTTTAAAAGGTGTCAATATGTTAGAGCGAACTATTTTATTTATATTCATTTATTTAACCAGATATTAGAAAACATAAGAGTACCATACAATGAAAACAAACTACGGAAATAGTACGAGCGTAACTTCTTTTTAGCATGAAACAGCTTTTATAACCGTTCGCATACCGAAGTACTCGCTAGAATTGTTCCATCCGCCTTTCCTCCCAAAGTGTAAGAGTGAGACCTTCAATAACGTAGTACTTGTGTACTCATGCTGTTTCTACTTGTTCCAGGGACTAGAGCAGTTTGCTGAAATGTAAGTGCACTTAGGGTTTTCGTATTGGTGTAGGGTTAACAGCCGAACTGTTTGAGAGCTGTGAGATTGACAAACCTACTGGATGCATGAGGGACAAGTCCCTTATTCAACCGGTTTGTTAGTGTGAATTGAGACATTCGGCGAAAGAGGTTGACTAGCCCCTTTATCCTCGGTAGGCTGTCGATTATGTCTTGAATTTATCGGGGCATTGCACATAGCTTCGAGAAAATTTAGGTCCATGAGCGACAGGATAGAATTGGAAGGGGCGTCTTCAATGTTCCCTCGGTTTCTACACTACCTTAGGATAGCTGGACACAACAAGCGATGAAAGGGCGGAGGGCTTTTTTGGTCTGTAGAACCATCGTCTTTTTCGGGGTTGGAAGAAGACTTTGGGGAGCCGGATCTTGACTTGTAAGATCGATCGACTTCATCGATCTATCTCGCTTGTCGCTACTGACTAATTTGGCCCAATGCGAAGAGCGAGCATGGTTGACAGATGTGGCGGACGACTCTTCACTACTGCCCCCGCCAAGACAGAGTGCCCCATTTAGATAGTTAGGGATCACTAGGAAAACGCGTCAGTTCAGTTGAGAAGTTAGGAAAACTATAACGGTTGCAAATTTTAAAAGTAGAGAGAATCGGAATTGTCATATAATACATAAGCTTCAACAAAAAGGTTTGCATCATAGAACTCCAATCAAGTGGTCGGGAGTAGCGAATAGCTAGGGAAATGTTAGGGAATTTTTTTGGGCACTCTGCGATGTGGGGGCACGTCAAGAAAAAGAGACAACTCTTCACCTTGCCTTGCTGCGAAAAAGCAGGGCACATCGAGAGATTCAGACACTTATGCTCTTGCGCAGAGCATGCAGGAGCGCAGGGACAACAGTAGTTTGCTGAAATGTAAGTTCATTTATATATATTTTACGTTTTCAGCTGATATGTGATTGCACATTTCTTATTTTTACATATTTTACAGAACTGCAGGCTTCCTTTCAGAATCATAGCCCAAATATTTTTATCAAGCTTTGGAGGAGGATACTCCCAATTTCAGAAATGGCACAAGTTATAGACACTCCCGAGTGTGATAAACGTGATATAATGAATATTGACGATAATGATTTGTATAGGCAGCTGTTTCAAAATATGTTCTGCCTGGATAGCTGGATGGATATTGATGAATGAGGATAGAGGTTGAATACGAACAATAGAAAAATGTTGAGAATGATTAAAGTCCCGATTTATAGTATGCTACAATACATGAAAACAGCAATCAAACAAACATTAAAATTTTTACAGGGTAAGCATTGGAGAGTATGGCATCAAGAAGGTTGGCTTTAAACTTGTCGAACTACTCAAGTATAGATAGGTTGAGGATCTTGGAATCGTTCCCAAGAGATATATCTTCAAAACTCACCCTAAGAAGACTAATACATTTCCACTCTAACTATACTCATATTTATGCTTTTATCCATGAAATAAAGAGTCAACCTACTTGATGTTTCAATATAAGCAGAGGTATTATTTAAATGGGAGTACTTATGTGAACTCTCTTTGTAGAGAAACCTGTGGATAATAGAAGTATAGTCTACTGTCAATATATTGATAAAGCTTTAAGAAATATTTACAGCAAGGCTACAATCAAAAGCTTCCAGAAATGTTCAAGATTTTCATCCAGCTTTTGACGAAATTCTGGGACATATTTGGGAAGCTAACATTCTGAGGCCAAAATTATACTTCTTCACCCTCTTGAAGATGATTGCAGGCTGGTACATGCAGAATGAACATCAATGGAAATGATTATTGAAATAATGAAGAAGTATTTTCGGAGAGATGTCTTGCAAAACACGTGGCTGACGTAAAATCGTACACTGTTTCTCAGGGATGAGATATGTGAAAAGTTCAGGTTGCCGTTGATGCCAAGTAACGAGATAAGAAGGTAGTAGTGGTAGTAGTAGTAGTAGTAGTAGTAGTAGTAGCAGTAGTAGCAGTAGTAGCAGTAGTAGATGTAGTTCTGGTAATACTTAGTGATAGAGGGGCTAGTAGTAGATCATTACTGGTATGAGGCAGGCTGTGGCCCCGTGATGGTCTCCAAAACTATATTTGTTATTATATGCTTTATTTAAATTCTATTTGGTGTTCGCTATTTTTATTTTACTATCGACAGCTGGATAAAACACCTTTATTGAGAAAATATATTTACAAATAAAATGGGTTACCACAATTCTTATTTTTACGTATTTCATAGGTCTGTTGTCTATGGTTATTTATGCTTTAAAATCGTACCTCAAGTGTTTTTCCTAGTTTGTTTCAGCTTTTAGGTGATAATAAGATCGTTTCGTATTTCAGGAATGGTGATGAACAATGATAAATAATGATGATGATGATATATTATAATTTTTATTTTAGCTTCTATTTAGTATTTACTATTTCTATTAGGTACATATTTAACTAACATGTCTATTTTTAGCTAAAATGTGATTGCACATTCCTTATTTTCACTTATTTTACAGAACTGGTGTTCAAAAACTTCCAGGTTTTCTTCCAGAATCATAGTTCAAATATTTTTATCAAGCTTTGGAGGGGGGACACCCCCAACTTCACGAATCGCATACGCTATAGACACTCCCGAGAGTGGTAAACGTGAGATAATGAATATTGATGATAATGATTTGTGTAGGCAACTGTTCCAAAAAATGTTCTGTCTGGATAGCTGGATGAAAGTTTTATTGGGCATACACAAGTCGAGTAAAGATAGAGGTTGGATAGGAACAATAGAAGCATGTTAAGAATGATTGAAGGCCCGATTTATAGTAAGCTGCAATACATGAAAACAGCAATCAAACGAACATCAAAATTTTTATAGGGTAAGCATTTGAGAGTATGGCATCAGGAAGGTTGGTTTTGAACTTCATGAACCACTAAAGTATAGATAGAACTTTTAAGGATCTTGGAAACGTTCTCAAGAGATGTGTTTTCTAATCTTACCCTAAGAATACCAAAAGCTTTCCACTCAAACTATACACAAATAAATAAATACAGAGTCAACCTACTTGATGTTCCAAAATTAGCAGAAGTGTTATTGAAATGAGAATGCTTATGTGAACTCTCTTTGTAGATAAGTCTGTGAATAATAGATAGTAGTATGGTCTACTGTCAATATATTGATGAAGTTTTACGAAATACAGTCAGGTTCCAAGCAAAAGCTTCTAAAAATGTCCACGATTCTCATACAACTTTTGAAGAAACCAAGAAGAAATTAAGGGACATATTTGGGAAACTAACCCAATGAGCCAAGAGGTTATAACATATGAATATCAATTGAATTGATAATCGCAATAATGGACAGGTATTTTTTACATAACCTTGAACTTATTTATTCTTCATGTTTCACTGACGTCTTACCCGATAAGTAAATCTTATAGGAAAATATAGCTTCTGAAACCTACTGCCATAAAAGGAAGCTCTCACCTAATTTTATTTTTCTAACAACTTATCAGAAAGATGCCACTGAACGACGAGGGGCGTTTTTAAAGTAAGAACCACTTGCGCATCCAGTAGCGTGACCGTTCAATCTCAAAAAACTCATGATCCATCAGTTTGGTTGGAGAAATAAACGTTAAAAAGGGGCCATAGAGAATTGTTTCTACTTTCAAACATTTCCTATAAACGCAAAAACTTTGATCTCATTGAAGATACGCGAAAAAAAATGGTTAACGAATTTCAAGAAGACATCACAACGCAACGCCTCTACACAGTTTACTTCCTCTGCAAAAAACGATTTCTTATAGCTTCACATCCATTTTCCTTAAAAAAATGATAACTTCTATTGATGTCTTCAACTTCTTCAAAAAAAAAAATAGTTATTCGCTAAGATATATTCTGTATATTCTGTCCTGGGCTATGCTGGTAATGCGGGATGTAATCTAAAGATCTCAACATGTTACAGGACATTTCACACTATTGTAGTAACACACTGTATGGGGATATGAAAATGAAAAGAAAAAACGAACAAAGTGCCACCTGGAGGATAGATAAATAAAATGTATTGTCAAAGTCATTGTACTGAAGAATGTCACAGTTGTCACGGAAACGTTTACAATAAAGATTTTTTCGATTGGCGAGAGAAATATGTGGGATTATCATAAGTAATATCATACGGGCATCTAATTTTTCCGAAAAAAATCGAAAAAACACGTTGCTAAGTAATATTTTAACAAGAAGCATGAGTGCTGGCAACAAAAATCCGAGTCGAAGACGACAGGAAAAAATTAGATGCCTGGATGGTATTTGACAAGATTATTCCACGAGTCATATCATACACATAGCTTACAAAATTTATTGGCAATTAAATCGGAAAAATTGTTTAGCGCCGTTTTCTGGTGTTTTATGAGACCATAATTAATTATCAATCAATCATATTGCAATTTTTGCTGACAAGTTTAGCCGCGGGTAAACTCGAAAAAACTGCTGACAGATGCTGTCATACAATTTTTCCATCTAGAAACCATTCGTAATTCAAAATTGCGCGTTTATGTTTGGTAGAAATTAAGACGAGGGAAAATAGTCGACATGAAAACCACAGGATAAAAGTTTCAGATGCTACAATAACCAAAAACTGGTAACTTGACTTGTAAATGTGACTGTGTTAAAAAATGAAAAAATGTTCATATTTTAGTTTGTGATACAATTTACATTCATAAATAAAATTTCTCCGACTCGAATACAAAACGGTTCTTACTTAAAAAATGACCCTCGTAGAAACCGTCACTTCAATGCCTCTTTTTTTTAGGTTAATGACTGTGGCATGCTGGTGGATTATATATTTTCGATTGTACAAATGGACCCAGAATTGTGGAACGACTTGATTTTTCTTCACCTGATACAATTAATCTGAGCAGTGACGGCTAAGGTTTTCTAGGGGTTTCCCTTGCCCAAGTGTGAATGCAGTCACCAAAAACCATATTCCCCTAATAAATAGTAGAGAAGATGGAAAATCATAGTTCTCCTATTAATGATTATGTAATTTATGATAAAATAGATATTGAATATATTTACATAGTAGAACTTTGTTTTTTTCCATAGTCCATAGTCAAAAAATATTTAATCCTCTTAAAGTCCTGTTCGTACAGGTGTCGTCACCTGTCAGTGAGACCGTGTCCAGGATCTTGCCACACAAATTCCGCTCATTATGCTACGCTATATAGACTAAATTCACATGACCGGATCCCAGATACAGCCACCGACAGGTCACCGACCACCAGCGTTGCCAACCCCATCCGAGAGAATAACGTGTATGAGCTTGAAAAAACTGAAGATAACAGTAGAATATTATTAAAAAAACTGTGGTTGGGTTCACATTCTCGACTGATCCATTTTTGCAATTTTAGAACATACCACTAGAAATTAAAATGCTTTGAGTGCGGTTCAAATGACCTCTATTATACGTATTTTGGGTTGCCAAAGCCGAATCTAGCGTCATTTCTCATGAATCTGATTCCTTTACATGTAGATCTAATTATTTAGCGAAAAATTGCAAAACTATACGTTTTTACAACTTTTGGGTGCTAAAAACCCATTTTCCTTATCGATGGCTATCGAAGCTTTGTACAACAAGGTAATTTGGGGTTTGGGGCGCTGAATTCAAGTCGTAATCAAGAAAACATTATACACAGAACCGCATTTTACGAGGGGTCTTCTATGTTACACTTTTTCCTCGAGGGCTTCATTAAAAAGATACGGGGTGTTGAAGTTTAAAAATAAAAAAACCTTTTTTAATACCTTCAAAACCGTTAACCGGAATAAACTAAAATTTGGTATGCGGATTTACCTATGTACTTTCCACATTCAAAAGTCTTTATTTAAAATTAAGTGCATCAGTGGCGGAGATACAGGGGATTAGTGGCATTATTTTTCCAAATAAAAATAGTACGTCACAATTACTCTTGTTTTTTTTTCTAGAGTGCGTCCAAAATTTGGGTTTAGCTTTACTTCAAAATCCAAAAAATAATCAACCTGTCATGACAGTCAGTACTATCAAATTACCACGTTTCACTTTAGAGGTCATACATTTCATAAAAAATAACGTTCCGTAAGGCTTGACAATTCGTTAATTTTTTGCACTAAAAACTTTCTTCCCTCCTGCACGAGAGTATACCCACTACAATTGGCTACCTGAATATCTTTCCCAAAGAAAGAAATATGCGCCCATGTATTGTTATGACAGTAGGCTTTGATAGACAAATGTATCAAAAAATCTGCGCTAAATATAAGTAATTGACATTGAAATTAACTACATGCATTTCCTTGTAACCATAGGTATATGCGTCTAACCTATTCGAATGCACTGTTCTAGTCCTATTCAGACAAATGTGAAGTGGTTTCGCACTGGTCACCATTTACTATCTTGCATTACCTTAGATGCACTAGCATAAAAAAGTGGAGATTTATACGCTGGTATTTATAGGCTTAACAGTGTATGTATAAAGTTACTTCTTAGCTACTGACCGGTAGTTCCTTGAGTAGGTAGTATAAACGCAACTCTAGTTTTTGCGTTCTCTACGAAGCTAGGTGTGAAGTTTTCATCTTCCTTTTGAGTGAGGAGTAGCTTCCGGAATTGAACGGTACCTGTTACTTCCGGGTTGAAGTTCACTGTTGTAATGTTCATATTAATAGCCTGAAAAGCTGATGGTAACTATAACAGAATTACATAGTGTTCATAAATATGTTTCATTATGTTTTTGTACAGAATCAGCACTATTTTGGAGTTTTAACTGTTCTTCCTGATTACAGGTAAGTTGGTTGACCTAGGACGATGAAGTGGTTCAACAAGTGACAGCGGTAAGTTTGTCGCTTCCGTTTTAATAGGTCGAATCTTAAAAGCACAGTAGCTTTAACATTTTCATATCCTTTTCTAGCTACATTGTATCGCTTGTGATTCTCGAATTGGTAAATACATTTCTACTTCCGACATTGGATATTGGAGTTAAAAAATAGAAAATTATAAATCAATGGCTTTTAAAAGGGCCTCAACTACAACGGTAGCCATTTTACAAAGACATATAAAGTGAACTTGATGTTGACTAGTTTCTAATATACTAGGAAATGCCTCTTCCGATTTTATAGGTGACATTCGAAAATATATACAGTTAGACACTGCATGGGTGATATACTTTGAAGTTGAGTCATTAATTTTCAGATAATGATTGTAGAAGAAAGATAAACCAAAATATGTGTGTAAAAATAAAAAAAAAAATAAAAAAAAATGTTTACCTTGTTTTATAAAGTATCCTCCCGACAAGTATTTCAGTGCGGACCTGTATTTGATCGTGAGGTCTTGGAGCACCGGCATGCCGTCCCCATGTGAGGTCTTAAGTCACCTGATTCACGAGCCCGTTGTACTACTTGTACTACATTAACAAAGGCACGAGGGGTTGGTTGCACTCGATTGGGAAACCGATCCGCATAAACATGTGCCATTTTTTATTTCGTTTGAGCCACGCAACAGACACCACTATTCACTCACGCGTTACCGACTGACACTGACTGTATATAACTGAATGAAATAATTGTAAAAACATCGTTCCAAATTCTTTCGCTTTTTTGTTTCCGATGCGATGAACCGATAAGGCGGATTATATCCGTTGTCGCCAAACACGAGCACATAATATTATTATTGAGACAGGGCGGTACTCAAACTTCCAAAGGGCTATAACTTTGTTACTTTAATTTTACCAGAAAAATGGTAAAAGAAAAAAAAAATTCTTTTGATCAGATCTACTCACTGTTAAAATAAATGACTCAACTTCGAAGTCACACATGGTGCTAGTAGCATATAGAGTATCTTTTGAGGAACTACATAAATGCTATCTCGCAAATTTTTTGTTTTGTTGGCATCCATAAAACCATAAAATACCTGGAATATCCTGTCAAACTGGGGGATAGTCCTGGAGTCGCCAAAAACCAGTTTTGGTTTCAACTGTTTCATAAGGTCTAGTACTTCCTTGTAGTTGAACTCCGGGTCTAGCGGTGCTAAGATGGCACCTAAGAAGAGTGCCGCTAACACGACTATCACCTGATCTGTGTTTGTTCTGCTGCACATCACTATTATGTCATCGTGCTTGATGTCTCTCCTCTTCATTTCAATGGCGAGCTTTACAGCTCTGCCCCGTACGGAACCACGGGTTTCTGTTACACCAGTGGATACATCAACCTAAGCAAAAAACGATATTTTGTGTCAGGTTTTTGATAAATGTGTATGACAAGGTGTCCTTGAGTTCAAGCCAGTGCACCACTATACAATGCATTCTGAAAACGTCTTCCCCCAATTGTCTTTTGACAAAGTGAAATTTGTGAGCTGAAATTTGGAGTCATAGAATTCATGTAAGCTAGGATGTTCGCTTATCCGGACTTTTCTGCTACCCGGGTATTGGGTATTTTTTGTTTAGATATCCAACTCAATTGTACTTAGAACATACTATCCATCAGTTTGGTTTATTCAAATTTATACATAAACAATTAAACTTCTTCTTAACAAAATCACTATAGAGATCAACAAAAGTTATCCTTAATTAATGTCGGATTCATTAATGAAACATCCATAGGTCAAGCGAATCACCCGAAAGCCTATTTCGTGCTTTTATTACAAAATACATAATTTATACCAGCCTATTATATTTTCACGAAAAAATGTTAATCACCGATAGCCTATTTATAAACAAATAATATAATAAACATGACACTGATCAGACTCCTATTTCCAAGATGTTGAGCATGGAGTATATTCGAGCATCAAATCTACCCGAAAAAAAGAGACTGTATTGGTTATACTGCATAATTTTATTCATAAGCACCTCTTTCAACGAAGCATGCTGCCAGTCACAAAATAGCTTCAAGGCTTTGGAAAAAAATTTAAAAAATTGTTTTTTTTGCACTGGTCAATGTTTTTCTAGGTTTTTTGGGTTATTCCCAAAAAAAAATCCATATGCACTCTTCTTCAAAGCGCTGGTAGTTTATCATGCTGAAAAATATAGGGCATATATAGGACAACCGGGTACCCTGGTCCGAGAACTCTATCTTTCAAAATGGCAGATTGGCAGACTGTCAAAGTTGAGCGTTTTTGTAGATTGTGTTGCTTATAGCTCAAAAACCATCAAAATGCCCAGCCACTATCATGAAATTTTTCCAACTGTCATTTTTATGTTAAAATATAGTACTCATGTATCAATTTCATCCCCTTGCGTTTCAGATTGCCTTCCTCAAAACAACCTAAAATGTGTGCGGAGGACTCGCTAATTGTCTCATTCTTACAAAACAGTTTATGGGTGACTCCAATTTTATAGAGGTTTTTTGTAACCTTTATGATTTTCCTATGAATGTAGGAATATCTCTTAAGAGTTTAGAATTAATTTCATTGCCTGTCGAAAATTCCCGCAGATGTTTTTTCAACTCAGGGTGTTAATTTTGTATCCATGCTTTATGAATGTTTTAACTTTCATCGTGTCAGTTTACTAGACAACGACAATTAGAAAAAGAGCTCAATAAGTAAGATGATCTTCACCTTTCTTGATAATAATGCTATGAACAAAAAATAGCTAATGACGCCTTTAGTCACATTTGTAGATTCTTAATAAAGACATTCATCAGATTAAGACCCTGAATAGTTTTCATGTTGCCTTAATATTTGTGAGTGCTCTTCGTATGCGACGTCTGTAAATTAAGTGATGAGACTGACAACGTAGCGTTCGATCTGGCAACACTGGAGGCGCCTGGGTTGGAGAGGAGACAGTGGAACATGTGATCGGGCTTCAGTACAAGGTTGAACTCGCTCGAGTTATTGGATTGTACGTAGCGATTTTTTTTTTCTGAAAGTTTTTCCTATAGTGTTTTAAAAATGACTGAAATCAATTTCGAACAACGGTGCGTTATCAGGTTTTGCTTCAGACTTGGGCACAGTGCAACGGAAACTCTTGCTGAACTTCAGCAGGCCTACAGATATAATGTTTTGTCAAGAGCAAAGGTTTTACTGTGGTTTGAGGCATTTTCAGAAGGGAGAGAGTCGATTAAAACTAACCACGAAGGACCGATAAAGATATAATAATAATAATAGCCTAATAATAGCCTTTATTCAACCTGGCGGGATCTTGTGCGTTCAGATCAACGGCTGGCAGTCAGAATATCGGTGACGAATTAAATTTGGCTCATAACACTGGTAATGAGATAAAGAACAACTGGGTGTTGCATCACGATGATGCTCCTTGTCATCAAACGAGTTTTTGGCCAGTAAAAACATTCCTCTCCTCAGCCTTCTTATTCGCCTATCTTGAGTCCTTGAGACTTGTTCTCTTCCCGAAGATGAAAAACCAAGTCAAGGGAACTCATTTTGGGATAGTCGAAAACATTCAAATGTCTGTATCTGACCAGCTGAAGGTTATTCCAGTATCGGAGTTCCAGCACTACTATGAGAAGTGGAGTTTAAAAAAGAAGTTATTTTGAGGGTGACGATATAACATTGTAGTTATATTTGAATAAAAAATTGAAAAAACAGTCAATCTCTTAATTTACAGACCTCGTACATACATCTCCCGACGAATGATCTGTCAGTCGTGTTTGGGTTCAATTCGCTGTCTTCCGGTGACGTCAGGAACACACGCATTAGGCAGTTCATCAAATATTGGACCAAGAAGAAGAAGTCTCTAGCATGGTTAACCGACCAGTTAGCATGCCGGTTCTGCAAAGAGACCGAGGAAACAGCAGTGCACGTATTTCATCACTGCGAGTTCCTGACAAGACTAAGGTTGCAGGTATTTGGAATCGGAAGCCCAATTACGGAAAGCTACATGCTAAGCCCTGTGTCAAGGCTCTAAAATTTGAAGTGATTAAATCTAGACACTCATTGTATGAAGGGTCCACAATTGATCCGTCGCAGTTTGACTTAGGTTGGCATGCTAACATCTGTAACCTGTGGTGTTACTTGATATTGTATCACTAATACTAAACAAGTCTACTACAAACAAACAAAGACAATTATACATCTGAAACTTACTCTTTCCCATTCATGATTTTATCTTGCCGAAGAAAACCACACAGATGCTCGAAATTCTCCTTTATTTTACGACTTTTCCAATCCATCAGTGTCCTTTTTCAAGTAAAATTGACAATATTCACAATATTTTTTGTTTATCTGTCTTCCAAGTCATACTCCTTTCTTTATTTCTGTCGATATTTAATTTACCAAAGACGCCACCCTCGTCTACCGTCTCGTAAACGAAAAAAAATCATCCGAAACGGCAAAACCCACCCAGAACTGATGTCATAGCATACTGGTTAATTGTTATGCAATCTTCGACAATGAGTGCTGCTTCTGCATTATTTATGGATCTGAAATGCTAGAAATATATTGTGAAAAGTGTACTTAAAAAAGGTCACCACTGGAACTGGAACGTCGTATAATAAAGATGAATTTTAAACATATTTGTGGTCTGACTCGGCCAGACAAATTTGGGGATAAACGGTTATACATCGCATAGAGCCTTGTCTATCCTGAATCGAAATACGTTTGGTGGGTTCTGCTTGAAGCTCTTAAGAGAAAGTATCGGTACTGTTCTGGGATATTAGGTAGGGCATTGAGCACCCAAGCTCATCATAGCTTGTTCGTTCGTAAAAAGGGAGAGAATTTTATGGAGCTGTCTGAAAACAAGTATTATGATACAATAAGTGTACCTGAATGATCTTGTCAAGGTCTTGTCCCAATTTGTCAAAGTATCTCTTTCCAAGACCTCCATTATAAATTTCATACGATACTCTGCTTCCTTCTATATCAATACTACCCAGCGTCGATTTTCTTTTTGATGTGCGTGAAGTCATGTTCTACATAAGTACATTTCATGAATTTTTCGGAATTTTATACAAACTGGGCTATAAATGTGTCATAAATAGGTCGTGTGGCATTTTGGCAGAAGTGACTTTCCAGTTGGTGTAAGGTTATATCATTGAGCATACTATCAGCAAAGTGAAGTGAGCACCTGAATATGGACTGAACAAAGAATTCCGAAACATCACTCAATTCACACTAAGTATGTTAATTCAGATATTGTCCAGTAGGAAGTTTCATTGTGGCCCTTATGCTCTTGATATTGAATGCAAGCATTGATTAACGTATTTTCACCTGAAGGTAGTCAACTATGTGCTGTATTTAATGCCAGACAATTGGGAACGTCCTCCCTACACCCTACAATGTCCAGCCCTCAATTTTTAACTCCTACAAAATTTTTGCTGAAATTTTGATGACGGTGAAACGTCAAAAAGTGAAGTTTGAGTCAACCTGATTTTTTGGCAATGAGGTAGTCTTGCATCAAGAGTAGAACGATAACATTCTCATGAAATTTTATTGACAAGTAATAAGAAAAAAAAATAATGTGTTCGGCGATCCCGCAGCTCAAATACTCCTGTAGATGGCGCTACATGCATCGCCTGATGTTAACTGAAGTCATATGTGGCCCTGAATTACTGTGTAATGAAATGTCATTTTGTAAAAACTACGAAGCACGTTCTGAGCAAATTTTGTCTGCTATTTTTCCTATGCATGTAAGTTGGATTCAGAAAGTAAAGTATTATCAAGCTCTGGCATAAGTGGCTTATATTATATGGTTCTTCGAGAAATCAAAGCAAAACTAAGAAGGAATAGTGTTGAAGCAAATAAAGAACTGGACCCCATGCTCCTCTAGTGAGTGGAGGGAAATAAAATTGGCGCCTTATTTGGAAAGTTGGGTGACAGAAGTTGTTATTTATTTTGAATTTGATACTGAGTTGTTTTTGACTTTGTGGTGAATGTTATATAAATCAGATTCGAAAAACAAAACAAGTACTTCACTTCATAACACTTCATAAACACTGTCATTGAAAAGTATAGGGTCGTCGCGTAATGGGCTATCACAGTGGGATAGTGATGGGCATTATCATTGACATTAGAAATATTAAACCTTATTTACTAGTTCTTGTCAGTATGAAAAACAAAAAATTCCTGGTATTTTGCTTTCGTCAGTTGTTTGATACAACATCTGCTACAATAAATTATTAATGCGTGTTCTAATATGACGATGATGAACGCAAAATAGAGATATTCATTTTTAAATTTATTATCGAATCTCAGATTTATAACTTAATATCTGCAAGACTTTTATTGCGTTTTTTTTTTGAGAAATCAACTTCTTTCGTAACAGTGCATATGTGGTTAAAATTTGTCGGATAAGTTGTGAAACACATGTGTACATATGCAATCGGCCAGTATGCATGGACGACTGTGTGAGTTCACAGGCATAATTTTTGCCTCTTTATCTTCAAAACTTTTTCGTCAACGTACGAGTCTTCCACATTTATGCTTATCATTAGCATTAGATATGGGTTTTACTTCTTGTTAGTCTTCGGTATAAAGCATTATAGGGATGCCTACAACTACAGTGTTGACAACCTCTGTATAATTCATAGGAGAGTTTTGGCAAAGTGAGTGAAAACAACGGTTTTCTATCACCTAATTCAGGGCTGTCCAACATACTCCTTTCTTGCGGCCTGCTTCACGGGTCATGTATAAATTACTCTCAAATACCGAATATGCACAATTTTTACATTAACGATAAAATACAATAACATGTGACGCCACTGGCGACCGATAGCAGGCCGCAGCGAATTTACTGGAAATTAGACCGATCTCTCGATCATCCCCGAATATTCGGTAAGCCACGGGCGCGTATATGAGAAGGTTGAATCAAGCGGGACAGGCAGTTTTGTTCTAGTGCTAGTGCGTTTGAGTACACAGCAACTCTAAAGCCTTTTTAAGTGAAATATTCCGTTAAATATGTCTTCACAGAAACGAAAAATAACGAACTAACATCGAGTTTATAATGACCGTTGGGAATCAGAATATTTAATCTCAAACAATAATAATAAACTTCAGTGCATTGTTTGTATGCAAGTACTATCGGTTCCTAACGAATATAATATGAAACGATATTACACTGCGTTACACGAGAAAACGTTTCGGCAATATTCAGGGGACTCGAATCAGGCTATCATAACGGAATACAAGAAAAAACTAAAACAACAAACAAGTTTTTTCAAAAAATCTGACTCTGATAACAAGTGCAGTATTGCCGCCTCTTACAAAATAGCGCTGGAAATTGCCAAAGCAAAAAAACCTTTTAGTGATGGGGAGTGCTTATCAAAAAGTGTGCAATAGAAATGGCCAAACAATTCAATGAATTAAAAGTTGCCGAAAAATTTGAAACAGTCTCAGTATCGCATCAAGCAATTGCAAGACGGGTGGACCATATCAATGAACATGTATCCAAAAAATTGCGTGACGTGGTTGAAAAATATATATATATATTTTTCGCTAAGCCTGGATGAAAGCACTGATCTGTCTGACACTAGCCAGCTTGTAATTTTCATCCGAACTATTCAAGACGACTTCAGTGTAGCAGAGGAGATGCTTGACCTTATTCTTCTCCATGGTACAACCAAGGATACAGATATTTTTGAAGCTGTGAATAAGTTGGTGTCAGACTGCGGGGGATTTGATAAATGTTCCTGTATTGTCACTGACGGCGCCAGAGCTATGACAGGGACTGAAATTGGACTTGCAGGACTATTGAAACAAAACAGCATCAACTGTCCTATGTTACATTGTATTGTTCACCAAGAGAGCTTATGTGGAAAATCATTACGTCAAATAAATGTCATGAAAGTGGCTGTTAAAGTAACTAATATTGTTAGAGGAGGCAATCGTGCTTTGACTCACAGAAAGTTTCGTGATTTTTTGGCCGAAGTGGATGCTACATATGGGGACTTGTTCGTTGGTTATGCGCCGGAAAGTGCAACGATTTTTCGCTCTACGCAAGGAAATTCCTATTTTCCTTAAAATGAAGTGAAGTCCGATACTACGGAACTGCAAAATCAAATGGCAGATGCACAATTTTTAGCAGACCTTGCATTTTTAACAGACATGATATCTCACCTTAACGAATTGAATTTGAAGCTACAACGAAAACAGCAGAATATTGCCAACTTATTTGGACACATAAATGGTTTTAACAATAAAATTAAGCTTTTCAAGTCTTCATTACAAAAAAAATATTTTTCATTTTTTCCAAGTTGTAAAGAACATTCAGAAGAAATGAATGATTTTGAGGAAGTTTCATATTTACCTCATACAAAATACATTGACACAATTGCAGAAGAATTCAAAAATCGATTTAGTGTCTTTAAAAAAATCGAAAGCGACATTTCAGTTTTTACTCAGACACTAACAATTTCTGTTGAAAACGTAAGCAGAGCAGACCTTCAACTGGAATTGTGTGAATCAGACCCTTTTTACCAAGAAAGAACTGAAACTGGCTTGGACTTTTTTAAGTTACTGCCAGGAGAACGATACCCCAACTTGCGAAACTTAGGACTTACAAAGGGATCAATGATGCGAAAGCAGCTTTTCCAACATGAAATTTATCAAGTCAAAGTATAGATGTTCCCTCTCTGATAAGTCTCTTACTCAGTTACTTCGTTTATCAACAACAAATATTAATGTTAATATTGATGCATTAGTATTAGAAAACCAACATCCTTAAATGTCCCACTGATTTTTTTGTAATTTCATATTATTTGAATTAATAAAAATAATAGAAAAACCATTCTTGTATACCTATTAAAACTCAGTAATAATGTTGTATAGAAAGATTTTATAATGCGGCCCTACAAACTGCATTTTTTTTTGAAGTGGCCCTTGGGCCACATTAAGTTGGACAGCCCTGACCTAATTCATGGGGGTGTGCAAAAGCGAGTATTTGACCCGCTTGTGCACCGTGTAATTTCCCTTAGGGAAGTTAATCTCCTCGTACGGTTCAGATAGTCAAACAGTTCACTTGTTTCTTGTTTTGCTTGGAATTGTGACGTAACCGCCAAGAACTGTGAATAGAACTTAGTACAGTGTTGCGCCATTTCTTAAGTACAGGACCACAGCGGGTTGTTGATCGGGGATACTGTGTTCCTTTGATCCATTAGAAAGAGCCGATACCTGCTCCTGCGTCATGTAAACTACATAATTCACAACAACAACAAAAATTGTAATTACTTTATTGTCAGAACATATACTACATATGTCACACAACTACGAATGTGATAAAAACGTGTAGAAATATATCCGTATAACATTGTATAGATAAGAAGGCGTTAACCACTGTCACTGGTCACAAGTCCGGATTTCCGTTATCGTCCAGCTGTGGCGTTGTGTTTTCTTCATCATTTTGCGGCATTGCCATGTCTGGTCCTATTTCGAAAGTGTTACGTCTGAGGAATGTGTAATCTTTGGCGTTCGGCAATCCGTACAGTACGCATGCGCTTAACGCTGAACGACTCACGTTCATTGAAGCGGCATCGTACCAATCGTTTGACTTGGGATCGAAATATTCTACGTAGTTGATCGTTGTTGAACCTGAAGGAAAACCATCATTAACTGTGTTTGAATGGTTCATTGACAAGCTTCCTGTTTAACTACATTACAATATTTAGCGCACATGTAACAGCTTTGCGAAGCTGCTCATATAGAGCGATGTCATCAGCAAAGCTGTAGATTCGATTGATCGTACAGAAAAGAAGGTCGTTGATATGTAAGAGGAACAAACTCGGAGCCAAAATCGATCCCTGGAGAACACCCGCGTAGAAATTGTGGATTTAAGAAGAGAACCTGTTAGTTGCAATTGATATCTTGCGGCCAGAGAGGAAGTCACTCACCCATCTGCAAAGCTTCTCTGGGAGGTCATAGAATAGAAGTTTGCATAAGAGGGCAGCAGCCACAGTGATATCAAGAGCAACATAAGCGTCGCCATAATACTGGATGAGCTTACTGTACCAGTTGCATGATGTAAGGTAGGGGGTTTATCTCTGGTAGCGGAATCCATACTGCATGACACTAATCAAGTCATGACTTTCGAGGTACTCCAGTTGCTTCAGTTGCCCCGTCTCCATCACGTTACTTATAAAAGAAGGTAGAGCTATGGGCATGTAGTTGTAAGAGTTGGTCTGCAATCCTTCTTTTTGAGAGGGATTGAACATGAGCAAATTTCCAGTTTTCTGGGAACGTGCAGGACGGTCTTCTTCTTCAGTATAAAGGCAGGCATCAAATCCGAACCAGAAGCTTTGTTGATGTCTAGCGACAAGAGCACCCATCTTACGATCTTATGCCCGAAGGTTACTTCCCGCGCTTTGATAGTGAAGGACATAAATGTCAGGTCTGTTGTAGTGGG